TGTTTTCAAGTGCTGATCACACATTTGCAATCACTTGCATGGCACATATCTACCTTTCTTCATGAAGTTTTGCTGTGTGTGCTGCTGTGTTAAATTTATGACTACTTTGTATTTTTCATAGTTTAAAATGGGTTATATTTTACTTCTGCTCAGCTTTAGATGTTGTACCTGATTAGTTTTATGGCCTGTACTGGCTGGCTTCTTTTCTCAATTTCCATGTGGGCTGCCTGTTGCCAGGGTGAGCGATAATACTTTGACTATCTCTAGCTTACAGGTCATAGGGTATAATAGAAACAAATCTGCAGAAGAAAACAGCTGAGCTTCTCATGGACACTCTACTTACATTTTGTGATTTCTTTGCTTCAGACTGACACTAGTCTGGTCCTGAGGACTGAGTCCCTATTAGCCTTTGCAGTGCCTTGGGTGTGTTCTTGTTCTTCTTATGTCTGAGGCAGTAAATGATAACTAAGACTGGAAAACAGGCTTAAAAATGCCCTCCTGAAGCAAACTAAAGTACTAATGTAGATGCACTGCTTGTGAGTCAGTCTTTTATGGAGTGCCATGTGCTTTGATTTCAAAACTGATTTGTGATTCTGATATTTTACTAAAGCCTTTTTGCACCAGTTTAATTATTTATTCCCTTACATTCACGTGGGCAATGGACAGCAGTACCTTTAAAAAAAATTGGTTTAATCATTCATTAAGCTACCAATTACTCAAAAAATCAACCCAGTGAGAAGGAGCTGCCTATTAACAGTTATTGAAGTGTCTGTAGATTAGGCCCCTGCCAACAGAGTGTGTGGGCTCCATGCTTGAAGCTGTTGGTGGAGCTCTGCGTGCCAGACGCATCGCTGCCTGTTTGCCCTCCTTTGTGCTCCTGCTGTCTCAGAGGCTCAGACCCTTCTGGCCCCCAGAACTTTGCCCATCCCAGCTCTCCGGAGAGCAAGGCACCTGGTATTATACAGGTGTATCCTCCTGGTACTCTAATTAACCACAGTCCTGAGAATACAACCCTGTCTACTCCTTCCATCTTGCTCCTGTAAAAAATCACACACACAAAAAATTTGCTGCACGCTTTTAGGCAGCGGCCAACGGTTTAAAATGCTGCATTTAACACCAGTCAGGGTGATACAAACGGAGGGTGAGGATGAAGCACAAGTAGCCAGAGGATGCCTCTGTGGGACTGGCTCTACTTATGCATGGATACCTGCAGCTGTGCCCCAACTTCACGACAAAATGAACTGGATTCTATTATATTTCATGATATAACCTGTTTTTCTATTTTCTCTACTTTCCTTATGGAACTCCGTACCTAACATCTGCAATATCAGGTGCAGATTACAGTTGTACTGTGAGGAAAATGGATTTATTTTTATTTTACTCATTTTCATGTATTTAAAATACTTCCTTACAGCAACTATACCGTCTCATTCATTATAGCTGGTTAAGCATGGACTGAACAGGAGCATAAATCCTTCCTCTGGAATGGAAGTAGAAAAGTTTAAGGGGAGCAAATTTGTTGAGATATTATCCTCTATTGCTGCTCTGGGAGCTGAAGTTTAGCTTCTACAGAGCACCAGGCCATCCTTGCTGACCAGCAGTGTTGAAGATCCTACCTCTCCCTCTCCTGCTGAGGGCTGGTTTTGGTGACATTTGGGCTCGCCTGGAATGTTCTCTTTCTTGAACAAAAAGGGTGTACAATGTAAGAAAAAATACATATTGCCTGTTTTACTGCTGAAGTTCTGCAAGATCAGAGGGAGCCTTACTTACCATTCAACACCCTCCCCAGGCTGTCCAGGCTCAGCTTCCTCCTCCAAGCAGATGCCCATCTGCAACGCCTGCAGCAGGACAGGCTCCAGTCCCACCTCCCAGACATGTCACGGACACTGAAGACAGCACAGCCATGCAAGAGGAGTCCTGCCCAATGCATGAGTTTGAGCTGAGCACTTGTGTCAGAGCTGAGCTGTCGCTCAAATCTCAGCCTATTCTGTGATTAACAACCATGGGAAAACTCCAGACATTTTGGGAAACACTGAATTCTTCTCAGATATTCATCCTAATGAGATGAACAACAGGTAAGATGTGGCTTCAGAATGAGAAGGAATTTAGGGAATGATTGTGTTTATTACAGGCGATGTTCTGTTTGAATGTTTATGTTTCTGACACAAAAAAGACAAGCAGCATAAGATACTTCAAAGTGAAATTTGTTAATGGATAGCATTTCCCATATTTTCTCCTATGAACAACAGGAATTGAGAATGGGGAAGACAAAAGGATACTGAGTACGGGGAAAGGCATACTTTAAAAAGTTTTCCTATTTCCTAAGAAATAGGAAGATTTTAAAGAAATCTCTTTACATTGATCTAGATTAGAAAGTTTTTGGTCTGTTTGTTGTTTTTTTAAAAAATCTTGAACCAGATTATTTTCTTCAGGAACAGTTAAAATTTTGGTATTCAAAATTAGATAAAACTGAAATACAAATCAGAGTGTTCTTATAACCTACTGTTAATATCAATCGAGTATCTCAGAGATGCATTTGATGTATAGGCACAGGCTAGGTTTTGCAGAAGCATAATAAAGTCTCAATAACATTTCTGGGGTAAATAGAAGCCCCGACAGGTGATGAGACAAATGTAACTGCATAGCAGCTTGATCAAAATGTTCAGATGGTCGCTATCAGGAGCCATGCTCAAATCTGTGCCACTCTCTAAGGCGACTGACAGAGAACCGTATTTTGCAGGCATTCTTCAGTCTTCAGGGAAGGATCAGCAACTAACAGGAGTACAGCAATCTTGAAAATGTCTTTTCTGAGAATAATGTTTACGTTTAAAACTGCATGCAGTCTTTATACAAGTAATGTTGCTGTGGACATGATGGCTCAAGGATACAAGAACGGTGGTGTATGTATACAGATTAGCAGCCTAAATGAAGACAGCTTTTGCTACTTGGCCCATACAGAGTAACATGCCAGAAAGCACATCCAACAAGAACATGCTGAGACACACAGATCTTTCTCTACAGCAAGTGACTGAACACGGAGAGGCATCGTTACAATTTACAAGCCCAGCTGAAACAACAGGCAGCTGGTGGGAAAAGTTAATTCCCTTTTGTTTCAGGAAGAAAGATGAAGCAAGGGACACCAGTTCCTGCAGCATGCTTTTGTATGTTGTGTGGAAATGGGTACTCCATATCTTTTGGGCTTGGTCTTTCAAAGGCCAGCTTCTGTGTCTGATGGGAGTCACTCATACACCCTCCAATGAAGCAGAATTAGACACCATTGTCCCCCAAAGGAATCTTTCCATTTCCATGACAGCTAGACTGGGTGTTGAAATTAGCATTAACTGTCTCAGAGGATATTAATGGCTGATAAGGAGAAATGATTTAACCATCAACCCAGTTATACGGCATTAAAATGTACCAGGGTTTGTATAATTGCTAAAATCTGCAAGTAAAATTTTTATTTGGAGTCTTTTCAAAAGGATTTAGCAAAAGAAACTTTCCACATGCCTATGGCAGAACGTTAGACTGCAGCAGTGGGAAGGGACCTGGTGCAAGGGCTCTCAGGAGGCACCTGCAAACCTGAGCATGTGCCACACGAATCCCTATGCACCTCCTGAAACTCATCGTCTTTTCCTGTGTAAGTGGAAATGCAATTCCTTAGCCACATTTCCCTATCTCTCTGTATTCAGTGGAGGGGGAAATATATAACAAAACTTGTGTTACGCTGATTGAGCATCTACTGCGGGGAAGAACAAGGAAGATCATTAAGATGAGAAATGTTAAGTGACTGCAATTATTTTCCCAGTCTTCCACATTTTTTCAGTTTTCCTTAGAGGGCTAAAAGAGGAGAGAAGAGGAGAAAACCTCCTCATGCAATGTTTGGACACATGAATTCTAGTGAAACTTTTATTTATCCTTTCCCCCCTCCTTCAGATAAAATTAAGATAATCTTTTGGGTCTGGTTTTGTGTTTGTTTTTTTTTTTTTACTTTCTTTGTTCTCCTTAAGAGAAATATTAATAAATCTCACCAGCAAGCAGGGCACAAGTATGTAAGAGACTGTTAAAGTAACCTAACCACTGCATATGTTATCTATGATTTGTAGGGAAGAAGTCAGAATATTCCCCACATTTCAGCAAGTCCTTTTCAAACTCTTAAAGGCTAAATTGTTCTGAAAATACCTTCCAATTCTGTTTTCTAGGACCAAAAAATATAAAATACCTTTATGTGCAGGAAGATTGCCCATAAACATATGATGAAGAAAAAAGTAAACACCACTTCTGATGCAAACAAAAGCTGCAAATTTTACAAACTACAGCTACCAAGCACACTGTAAAGATATTTTCCACAGCAAGTGGCTCCAGACCCACATCTCTATATTTTATTCACTAGTGAGGGTTTGATCTTCCTTAAAGCCAGACTGAGGTCTCTCTTGTCTGTTATCACAGATTTTGTCTACCTTATCTCAGTCCCCCGTGAAATGAAATGAGCTCAATACCTTGGTTTATTCCTTATCTTTTGGAGCTATGCCTTTTTCAGTATTGCTAAGTTTGCAAGACTTTGGGTAAGCAGGTCCTGTGGATATGAAAGAGGCTGAGGAATCATTAAGCAAGACACTCAATAACACACCTTTATTGGGCTTTATGAATCACCAGTAGAGACAGTCACGCAGCTTGAGTTCACAAAGCGATATCTTTAAAAAGGGAAAATGGATCTGCAGCTCTGTGAGCTACAAACCTAGGATAGAAAGCACATTAGAGAGAAAGGATTAAAAAAAAACAACTAAAAATCAGGGCAAGGGATTGAGAGCAGTGCTGAGGAAATGAGTGCGGGAAGGCTGAGAAAGTTCCATCTGTCCCAGTTTGTGTCTTGGCTGGTGAGACAATCTGAAGCCCTGTGGGTTGTCACAGGGAGGCTGGAGAGAAAGCACTGTCTGGGCCGGAGTCACCCAGGAAGAGCAGATCCCAGTGAGAGGGACACAAGAGGGGACAGAGGGTTGGCTCTATGAGGTGTTTTTGCAATCTATCAGTTTGCGAAAGCTCCTCCGGAAACTGTCATCCAGAAAAGCATACAGGAAAGGGTTGAAGCAGCTGTTGGCATAACTCAAGCTAGTGATGAAGTAAGAAATCCCAATGATAAGAGGAGTTTGTGGGATGTCTGTGGTGAGGGCCACCACTGTGCTAAGGTGATAGGGCGTCCAGCAGAACAAGCACACAGCCAAGATGACAACAACCATCAGCGTAACTTTTTTTTTGGCTTTGTCCAGGGCCTTTGCATTGCTATGGAGGTGCACACGTCTCAATCTGCACAGCATGGTGGTGTAAAGGATGCAGATGGTGGACACTGGGATGGCAAAGCCTAAAATAAGCGTGTAGATCCGGCTGCCTTTCCACCACATGCTCTCAGGGTGGGGGAACACGAAAACGCACTGGGAGCGCCCCTGCTCCTTGTGTATCTTAGCAAAGACAGTGAAGGGCAGGATGATGACTGTGACGAAGGACCAGACACACAGGCTCACAATCTTGGCTGCTCGGTAGGTGCGGTAGGACATCTTCCTGGACTTGGTGGTGGCCACCACAACCAGGTAGCGGTCAATGCTCATGACGGTGAGGAAGTAAATGCTGGAGAAGGTGTTATACTGGTCTATGGAGATGATGAGCTTGCACATGAACTCTCCAAAGGGCCACTGCAGCAGCAGGTAGTCAGCAATGTTGATGGGTAACACTAATGTAAAGAGCTCATCAGCAATGGCCAGGTTGAGGATGAAGATGTTGGTGACTGTTTTCATCTTTGGGGCTTTGAGGATTACATAGATGACAGCAGTGTTGCCTGTCAGCCCCACAGCACAGATGAATGAGTAGATGACGGGCACCGTGATGTAGAAGCTGGGGTTCAGTGGGGGACTGGACATATTCAGCCCCCCATCCCCTCTTCCGGGGCAGTCCATGGGCCCACCCGCACATGAGGAATTGGTCTCAGGGAGGGAGGAATTCTCCATGGCCACAGGAGAGGGTGGCCAGGTCCACTGGTGGTGGAGACGACTTGGAAGTGGGAGAAAAAAGGCGAGACCCCTGCTCTTCAAGCCTGTCTCCTCCAGCACATCCAGCCACCAAGGTCTCACATATGCTGCCTGCCGCCGCCCTGCCGGGAGCAAGGGGACATCATCGAGGGCTCAGCCAGTGGCAGAGGGTCCCATCATCCACCCAAAGTGGGGATGGTCCCCCACCGGCTGCCCCTTCCCTCCTCCCGCACCAATGGGCGCCATGTGGGGTCAGCATCCAGCCTCGGACTCCCCCAAAGTGACAACCCCAAGGTGACAGAATGGTCACCTGAGAACCCAGCGGTCTGATCCCGCCGCCGCCCCTCCGCGCGGACCGCCGGACTCCTGCTCTCAGGGGAGCCGCTGTCTTTGGGATGCTCCCCAAAAAGCAAAACATCTCCCCCCTTCCCGACGGGGCCGAGCGCTTTGGAAGGGAAGGAAGGATGCACTGACCTCTGCCAGCCTCGCTGCGGGGGTCCCTGGTGGGGTCCCGGAGGGGCGGAGGAGAGGGGGCGGAGGGATGCGGGTCCCGGGTCAGTGCAGGCGGGGGATGCCGGTGCCGCTTCTTTGCTTGATCCTGAGAGTTAAATGCGTGCCCGTCTCGATCTAGGTAGCAACAGATAGGTAACACGAACCGCAGGGAGGATGGTTTAAAAGTCAGGAGCTGGACCACTGGAAAGAGGTTTGTGCGATGACCTGAAGTCACGTCTCCTCCCGACGGCGGCGAGGTATCGCGGCGCAGCGAAAGGGAGAGAAATCCCGGCTCTAGGTGGCATCTCCTTGTCGTGGTGGGTCTGAGAGCTCAGCATCCACCCCCTGCACGGTCCGGGGTCTGTCCGCGGTGCAGGGCGTGGGCAGCGCCCAGCTGTCAGGTGATGCTGTTCATCTTGCCACGAAAAAGCGTTGTTCACGGGGCGTGGGTGTCGAGCAGGACGCAGGCACGGGAGTTCCTATTCCTGCGCCCGTCCCTTTCACTCCTGCACGCTGTGATATTGATGGACTTAAATATAACGCCGGGGAGGCAATCTTTTTTAGAGGGTAATTCAGAGTTCCTGATTATCCTGTTTCTTCAAAAAGCACATGGAGTAAAATCTATCTCCCTTCAGTTTTATTTGTTTTGCTTCTTAAATAAGAGTGAATTCTATTAGTTTTAGTACATTTGATAAAATTTTGCACTTCTCAAGTTAGAAGTGAAAACGTCTTTTGTGGTGTTACCATACATTAAGATACTAGTAATGTAGTACGTGCATCCTTTTGGCAAACAGTTTGGCAAAACTGTTTAATATCTCTGAGCTAACACTATGGAGTGAGAGACAAACACAGTTCTTTCTTTGGCTCTGATTGTCCCATATCCTGATGCGTAATTACGTAGATTAGCAAGATATCACAAATATGAAAATCCAAGCAAATAAATTAATGAGTAAATAGATACAATAGAAAATAAATAAATAAAAATAGATAAAAAATTACAAGCAAAGAAAAGTAGCTTTGCTTCATTGTGATTACGCTTTCTAGTGCTCTGTCTTATTTTATTATATGCTACTAGTTACAAGATATAGCAAATGACACTTTGCCACGCAGAGTACACTGTACGGTCTGTGGTTCTTGACTTCCTCTATGGAAACATGTGAGAAGGAAAGGTGTTTACACACCTGTGCAATCCCATGAACATGACATAAGTACTATGCTGTAGGCTTATCATGGGGTTTTGATCCCTTTTCTGTGTACTTTATACTTTCACAAGCTAAGGAATGAAAATATCACCTTCGCCATGAAGTTTATTAAAAGCTAGCATCCTAGTCATGTTTTCTGACCCAAAGACTTAGGCACAGTTACCCTGAAGTGGATATAGCTTTGGAAATTTCCCTAAGAATTACATTTTCAATTTTAGACGCGATCAAAACTCCTGGTAACCATCTGTTTATTTGGTCTTTTATTTCCAGTAATTTAATGCAGATAGTACCATGAGCTCCCTCTTCCCCTTTTTATCTACCCAAGTAATCCCAATTAGAAAATACACATTTAATCATGATAAAACTCATTCAGCTATTTTTCATTGTTTTCACATATGTTTCTCTGGAAAAGCTTTGTGACTTTCCTGTGTTGTTTCAGAATTGTTTTGTTCTCTCAGAAATCCTGATGAAATAGGAATTTCTACTGAAGTCTACTGAAATCTTTCATAATATTTCAGCTTTGTTTTAAGATCAGCCATGGCATAGTTCAAATAAAAGAGAACACAGACACTGAGCAACACCATAACAGCACCAATGCAGGAAAAAATTGACTACAACTTGCTTTCTGTTATTCTAAACATGCAGAAATATTTTTATGTAGAGATGTTATTGGAGGATGTCAGCCATGTTGTGTGCTTATTGCAGTAATATAGTAGATAACCTAACCAGTGTCTTCTTTAGGGATCTGAATGATGAGATACAGCACACCCCCAGAAAAGTTCACAGATGCTACCAAATCGGGGAGGGTGGTCAGTACTCTGGAAGGCAGGGCAGCTGTTCAGGAATGGGCTGACAGAGGCCATATTAACTTCTAAAAGGTAAAAAGTTCCTGTGTCTGAGATGGAAAAACCACACTCAACAGCAGAGGTTGGGCACTGCCTCCCTAGGGAACAGTTTTGCAGAAAAGGACATAGAGTACCTGGTAGAGAACAAGATGAATGTCAGTGAGCAGAGAGCCCTTGTAATAATGAAAGCTAACCATGCCCTGTACTATGTCAGCAAACGTGTAGTCAGCAGGTCAAGGGAAGCAGTTATTCTGCTTTATATGGCAATTGTGATACCACACAATTTGGGCTCTCCAGTAGAAGAAAGACATTGAGAAACTGCAGCTAGGGTGCAATGGAGGGTCATTGAGATGGTTAAGGAGGCTGGAGCACTTAACAGGTGAGAAGAAGTGGAGGGAACTGGATTTGTTCTGCCTGGTAAAGAGGAGGCCTGGGGGCTGGGGCTGGGGGAATCTACTTGCTGTCTCCAGCCATCTAAATGTGTCTTAGGGAGAAGACAGAGTCAAAATCTTCTTCCAGTTGCAAAATAATAGGATGAGTGGCAACAGTTACGAATTGCAGCAAGGTAAATTCTGACCAGATGTAAGGAACAAAATTATTCACAGTGAGGATGACTGAACTTCTGAACATTTCTCCATCCCTGGAGACGCTCAGAATTTGACTGGACATGGTAATGAATAATGAATTTCAAAGTTGGGACTGCTTTGAGCAGGGAATTGGGTTAAGTGATCTTCAGAAGTCCCTCTAACCTAAATTATTCTGTGATTCTGTGATTCTACCATGTTCAATTCTTATTTTAAGCCTTTAAAATCAGACCCATCTCAACAAATTATACAGTAATAATAAAAAAAAAGATTTTTAGAGGAAATGACACATTTTTGATGCAATTGCATAATATCAAACCTTGACCAAAAATGATACTTTCTAACAACCTTCTGTAGAAGAGGAATTTCCTTTGAGAGAGCACAGAACATCTGATGATTAATTCATGGCTGAACAAATCATTCAATAGAGCTGAAAGGTCATGTTTACAGCAAGATTAGGTGTATAATGTGATCATTATGAATGCGGTTATGCTTAAAATGCTGTGGGTTTCCAATCTGACTGATAGAATCCTCATGGTGATTTACTTATTCTCCGCATTTTACTCTCTTGTAACTGGTCCCTTTTTGTGGAAATAGCTTCAAGGGTTAATTATGTAAGAAGGAAATCTTCAAGAGTGAAGTAGAAAAAAAAGTTTAAGTTTTATGTAGTGCTAAAGAAAAGCCTAATAATTAATTACATTTTTACACTCGTATTCTATCCCTAGACTTTAACTGGACTGATGGAGTACAGAGGCTGAACAACAATAGATGAAAAATTAGATTTAATTTCTTAGAATATGTATTTCAAATTAATTTCTGTCTTACATCTAAAAGCTGTCAAGATTATTTTTGTATTTACTAGCAATGCTTGTTTTATATTTTGACAACCCAAAAGGAGAATATAATATCCTAATCTATAGGATCATCTCAGACTTTATCATTATGCTGGGTCTTGTCACTTCTTTGGTTATTACTCTAACTAAACAAATAAGAAATGTTTACTTTACTATATGGTATATATAAAAAAAAAGCCACAACAAATCCAACCAGCATTAAAACTGTCATAGTGATGCATATCACATTTTACAGGGAGAAGGAGTTCTAGGAATCAGAAAACAGGTGGCAGAGATCTTGTTTCAGTAGCAGGAGCATTGATAGCATACTTCTGCACTAATTTAAGATATAATAAAAATGCTCTTTTATATAGTATATAATATGGAAGTTGCCAGTGATTGAGACACAGAAACTCAGAAAACCAGGATTATATATTAGGAACCAGGACCTTCTTCTCTCTTTACTTTAGGAGTTCATCTTCAATGTGTGAATTGTATTAATATAACTCTGCAAGATACATCTAGGTATACTGAGCATTTAGTCACTTACTTATTATATGGGCTTGCTGCACCTGAAATTAACTGAAACTGTAAAAACTTACTCTTCATGCATTGGTCTCATACAAGTCTTTCAACGTGTCTTTTGTTAGGAAATAATAATGTAGATCAAATATGATATAAAGAGAAATTGTTCCTCATGAAATAATTAGTCTGTAAATTTAGCATGCATTAAAACTGAGCAATCTAAAGGATTACAATATATGACTTTGTTTCTGTGATAAATGAATTCTATTCAGAAATGAATTTTTATTCTGGTTTAGCATGGTTTTGTTCAGAATTGCAGTAAATGTAGCCATGCTATTTCTGTCAGTATGTGTGTTCAAAATTTTGACTAATTTGAGAAAGGAGCAGAGGTCATGGAGATTTGGTTAAAGGAGTGGTCTGGTGTGGGGGAAAAATCCAAACCAGTGTTAATTCATGCCAGCTGAGTTTGATTGTATTATTCAATAGGAGAGGAGCTGC